AGAGAGAGAGAGAGAGAGAGAGAGAGAGAGAGAGTCGCAAGGGGAGAGACTGTTCCCGTGACAAGGAGAGAGAGAGAGAGAGAGAGAGAGAGAGAGAGAGAGAGAGAGAGAGAGAGAGAGAGAGAGAGAGGTGGCTTGTGACACAGGTGGGAATGGAATCCTTGTTATTCCCAGGGGTGGAAAGAAGAGCATGTGGCAGGTTGGATGTCATAATCTGGTTAGCAGATGACATCATCATTGCACACGGACGGAAGAGACACAGGTACGGTATGTGGAGGAAGTGGAAGTGGAGGTAACAGAGATTAATTTGGGAAAGATTGAGAAAATAATCGGTTAGTTGTGGGGAGGAATAAGGGAACATGTTAAGCTGCTGCGTGATGTAATGTCCGTGCGATTGTCGGATTTTTGAATGCGAGGGCATGAAATGTAGAAGTAGGGGATGGCTATCCGTATCCATCTTTACCTTTCACATTGAATTGGAAAGAGGGAAGGTGGAAGTGATATGTTTGTCAAAATTGTTGCAACGAGGGACCATGAAGAAAGTCAGCTGCTGTGTAATGTGAAGGGAGTAGATGTATATAGGAGGAGGCAGATGAGTTGTGGCTGATGGAGACATATAAAATGTGCCCTACTACAAACGGATCTATACGTCGGTTGGTACACCAACAACCCGTTTGGAACACAGAGCGGTGTTTGAATGCCAGTGGAATCAGATATGAGTGAAAGTAACTCATTTCTTTAGGCAAGAAAACAAAAGAAATACCCCCTGCTACCCATCCATTCACACCCAAGGGCAGGGTGTAAATAAATGATATGTTTCTAAAATGTGTTCCCTCCGTAGTTCTCAGGAAAGGAGGGGATTACAATCGGGAGCAACAGTGGCGTTTTGGTAGGGGTGTCCATTTTGAGGCTGGCAGATATAGAGGGGAAGATTTACATCTACCTTTCCCGTGCCTTCAAAAGGGGTGTCCATTTTGTGGCTGGCAGATATAAAGGGGTGTTCATTTTTTGGCTGGCAGCTAGAGAGGAGTAGCCTCACACCTACCCCACTAGTCCCTGCCAAAGGACATGAATATTGCGGCCGGCAGCTAAAGACGGGTAGACTTACATCTATCCCTCTACCGTCTTCAGCCGAATAAAACGCCCAGTCATTATCGCTGTGTCTGGTCTGAAAGTTGCCGCAAATAGAGTTATAATGACCGGGCGTTCTATTCAGGTGAAGACAGTAGACAGTAATCTCTGCCGAAGGGTGTGATTTTTGTGGCTGGCAGCTAGAGAGGGAAGCTTAACGTCTACCACACTCTAGTCCCTGCCAAAGTGTGTGTGAATTTTGTGGCTTGCTGCTAGAAAGAGGAGTAGCTTTACACCGACCGCTCTCTAGTCCCTGCCGAAGGGTGTGAATTTTGCAAACTCCATTGCATTCGCTGCCAAAGGGTATGCTGAAAAGCGTGCAAACGATGCATTTCCCGAAAAAGGCGAAAAGAGAGTATGTTCTTGTGAGATCAAAAGCACTGTCATGCCTGTTGAAACAGAAGTTTGAAAAGAATCTAGGCAGTACCTTCTTCACCCAAGGACAACGTATGGTTTTACAGCTGTATGTATTTGGGGTATGTATTTGGGGTACCTTTCACTGTAAATACAGCAATAATGACCAGACATTGTATTACTGCCGATGGTTTTATGCCAAGATGATTACCGTGTGCGATAGATAGGGAGTGTTGCGAAAGGCTAATCCAGAATTATAGTGGGCCCATGCGAAACCCGGCCGGCTGTGGGACCTGTGCTGCTGCAGGAGCATTGCGGAATACAAGTAGATAGCTACCAGGGCACAATGACCAGCTTACACTTCTTTTTTTTTTTTTTTTTTCCCAATTACCTGTCGAATTTGGACAGGATGGCCTTTCAGGTCGTCTTTTATTGTCATCGTAGAGGGGAAGATTTACATCTACCTTTCCCGCCGCCGTATTTTGTATGATTCCAGTGTGCGAAATGAGAATGAATCTTTTTTTTTCAGAACATCTGACGATTCACCGCCATATTTTGTAGGATTTGCACGAATCGAATGCGACTTCATGGCGGTCCTCCCTCCACTACTCGCCATGGACAACTAAAATGCCCTGACGCGCCACCGCTTCTCCTTGCTGAGCTGCCACCGCTTCCCCTTGCTGAGCTGCCACCGCTTCCCCTTGCTGAGCTGCTTATCCTACGTGCCCAGCGAGAATGAAGAATGAATCTTCTGCTGCAATAGGGGAAGATACGTCGCCCTATTTGTACCCTGCAAGTACATGCTGGACATCGCTTTACTGCTCACCGTGCACAAGCAAAACGCCCTGCTGCACTGCCACAGGCCCGCGGCGATTGCTGACAGCGGCAGCCAATTGTTGTCCTGACATGATACGCCCCCTACCCTACTGCATTATGGTTACGTGTTAGCCTGCCAAGCCGTTGGAGAGTGTCTAAAGCAATACACAGCAGTGATGCAAAGACTGCATCAGAGAGGGCAGCAGTGATGCAAAGACTGCATCAGAGAGGGTGCTAGGTCAAAGGTGTAGATGATGCACTGGAAGCTAAATCGAAGACTACTGTCTTCTGCCGAATAGAACGTACACGCCGTACACTCATTATGAATTTAACCAGCCATGAATAAGCAGGTCTGAAAAAAGAAGAGCTTTTTTGGAAAAAAAAAAAATGAAGAAAGAAGAACAAGGCGAAGATTGCTTAAGGTTTGAGGTCGGTGTCTTTGACAGTGCAGCCCTACCCAGTGTCGTCGGCGGCCTGGCGTGGGTCCGGGGGTGGGCACCTCGAACCCTGGCTCTGCAGACCCCCACCACAAAAAAAAAACAAGAAATATAATTAAAAGAAAATAAAAATAAAAATAAAATAAAATAATAAAACATAATGGGGGTTGCGCAGTGAGAGCCGGGCCCCCCTGGACAAAAATTAAAAGAAATGAGTGTTACCCCTCCTCGGACACCACCCCCCTGGGGCCACACCCAGCGCTGGTGCAGGGGCGGGGATGGGTGGAGGCGGGG